GGCCGCTGGCAGCTGCCTCTGCCCTCCAGGTCCGGAGTGGCCCGGTCGACGCGAGGTCTGAACGGACACAGGACTCACGGGACGCGCGGGGGCAGCATGCGGGAACCGCCGGCGGGTGCCCGAGCGAGCCGGCTGGCGACTTACTGGGCTCATGTACACGCCCTGGTGCACATCTCCAAACTGGCCTTCGCCGATACAGCGTCCGAGTTCTATCCTTTCCCTCTGGATCTCATAATCCCTGGCTGCAAAACACGACCCATACATCAAAAAATACCAGAGCACCGCACGCCACACACAGAAACAACACCGCACGCTCAGGTCACGGGCAAGCGCTTGACCGGCGGCACACTGTTCTAGGATATGTCTTAAACGTGGAATTCTCTTAAACGGCATGTGAAAATAGGTGGGGCGGCTGTGGCCGTGGTTGGCCTAGCAAAATGGGGAGTTCTACTGAAGGTGCATTCTCGTCTCATGACTTTGAATGTCTGGTTTAGTTTATAGCTGAATCTTCTCAATAATTTCTGCAAGTATTAAACTGTTTGCTCAATTAAGCTTACTAGATTAGACATTAATATATGAAGACTAAAAAAGTAACTTAAAGCAATTATTTTATAAATAAAGTCTCTAAGAGACAGCTGTCAAAACAACTGTGTCATGAATGAAGAGTTTAAGAGTTTCCACGTCATTATAACCCTATTGCTGTATTATTTATTGAGCTAAAAGAATTTAAAGAGGTAGATTCTCAAAACTAATTTCGGAACCAGATGACTTGGGATCAAGGTTGAATTGATTCACATAAACCATGAGCATTTTTTAATTTTGAAGAGCATTTGTTTCAAATCCATTACTATGTGAAACTGTGATTTACACAAAACCAATTATGTAGTAGATTGCTGAGGCTCATGGGAAGAAAATACCCAGTAGATTTGACTCTAGTTTGATGAACTACGTGGTATTTTGGTATTTCCCGTATTTCCCAGTCAAGAGACACCTCCCCAGGTCCCATTACCGGTGGGCCCACCAGAGAGGGCGCCGGGGTCACGGACAGCCAGGCACCTGCAGCTCTCCCCGGGGCAAGTCACCAAAATCCAGCCCAAGTTTTAGACGGTTACTCTCCTCTTTAAAGTCACTTTAGCGAGTAGCTCCATCGGCTTAGGAGCATGAGTAAGCCGATGGGAAGTAGTTTAACATAAAAGTTAACTGAACCTCCCGTATCATCCCACAAGTTGTGATCGCGAGCAAATGCAGTTATTTAAAGGAATCCTGTTACCTTCATCTATTCCATAGCTTTCTGTATTGCAGTTAAGAGAGAGAAAAATTGAAGACCTTGCTTAGAAGTAACTAACAGCAATCAGGTTATTAACAAACACAGTCGGACAGTACATTTCAACAGTGTGTCTAAGCATAGGTAAAGACGAACTGTCCTCACATTAATTCAATGTTATATAAACAATTCTCCGAATTTCAGTCTTACAGATCCCTATATGAGACTCACTTTTGTGGATCTGGATGAAAGGTGGCCATACCGGACCTTTCTAATCAGTCCGAACCATGAGCAGACAGACAGGGGTCTGGCCCTTCTGTGACGTGCAGTGACTAAACATCTAACAGAGAACTCAAAAGCACGCATTTTTCAAATTGCTGCTGCAAGTCAAAATGGACAGACCCCGGTGTGCATACGGCAGGACTCTACTGCAGGACCCCGGCGGGGGGTGGGGGGGCGGCCTGCAGGAGGGCGGTGGGCCTCTCCGTCAGGACTGCCTCCTCAGTGTCCGGCAATGCAGCGAGAGCATCTTTTAAAGTGACATACTGCCGGATAAAGGGCCGGAAGCACGGTGTCCCAAGGCAAGCAAGGAGCACCTCTATGTGCTGAGCCCAGGGTCAGCTCGGCTTCTGAGGGTGTGTGTTGGAGTCTGAAATGAGCCTCTTTCAGAGGAAAGCTCAAATTTTTTTGCTGTGAATGAAAATTTCAAGGGCTTGTCCTGTTCCCAGGCTGGGACCACAGCTGCCGGCGAGAGGCGTGGGCTCCGGAGCCGCCTCAGGCAGCAGAGAGGGCAGGGCTGTGAGAGTCTGGGCTTCGGAAGGCCAAGGCCAGCTCTCTGTGTTGGCTAGTCAAAGGCAACGAAGAACCAGAGTTAAGGGAAATCAAGTCACTGAATAGGCACGTGCAATAAAAAAAATCAAGGGCGTATTTGTGTTTAAATGATGCAAATTTTCTACACAGGGGAAATACCTGAACCAACAAATATTGTTCTCATAGACCCGGAAAACGAGGTCGCAAAAGCCGCACCAAACGGACGCGCGGACACCTGCGTGAGAGCCAGCTGCGGGCTCGGCGCGGGCTCGCCCGCGGGGCGTTCCGAGAGCAGGTCCCCCCACGCTCAGTAGGGGACAGAGACAGCTCTGAAAGGAAGAGGCGGCGGACACGCCGAGGGACAGGCGGGCAGCGGCCTGCTTACTCGAGGGCATGGTGTACGTGTCCTCCTCGTCGATGATCTCGGCGTAGTCGTCGGTCTCTGCGGGAGAGGAGAGCGGTCAGTCGGGAGAGGTTCAGCGCGTGTCCTCCTGAACACACACAACCTGAACAGGCAACATGACCTGCCTACGCCCCTCGCGTGGCTGCCCGCTCCCAGGACGCTACGCTCACTCTGGCCCCGCCTGAGCCGCCTGCGCCTGACGGCG